TACATTGTTTGTGAGACGTGGTGATGGGATGAAAAGATAGCCAAAGGGAGGAGTTCATCACGCCAACCCTCCCCCCCCACAGTCCCAAACGTTTTACGAGGACAAGGGTTTGGGCCGAATGGCATCCGTGACAGGATAATTCTTCTTCATAAGGGTGCCTACCCTTGCAACCCTGTGTGACACTTACACGAAATTGAGATTTTATCAAATTAAATTCCCAGTCCGACCAGTAAAAAATGCATTTGGTTTTTGTTTTCTTACAGAAAATCAATTTGTCTTTTATTGATTCAGAAAAAGTTCAGTTTCATTTTTTTTTGGGTTTTTGGATGACAGCATTTGCTCTTTAGTTTTTCCTTTTTCTTACCAAAGAGACGTTACGTTTTTTCATGTTTTGCATTTGTGTGTTCTTCAACTCGTTCAACGCCCACAGTTAAATCTTTTGCTATGTTCGGTTCCATGCATTCTGTCGCTTTATTTCGGGCTCAGGATCTTTCGCCCTGCCCTCGCTCAGCATCTTGCTTGATTCTATCGCTTTCGGTTCTGTTCTATACTGATCTATTCTCATTTCTTTTTTACTTACTTAATTAGATTTAATTTTGTTTTCTTCATTTACTTTCTGTTTTTGTTTTCTTGTTCAACTAGTCTTAAGCGAAATAAGCACAAAAGCTGCAAAATGTTTTGCTTAAACTAATTTTTCATTTTTAAACTCTTTTCTTCTTTTTTTATTTTTGGTTTTTAACTTTTATCTCTTGATCTCCAATTCAGTTTTCTTCATGAATGATCCTTTGCATCAAAGTTGAGGGCACAAAAAGTACGCGTATAAATTGGAAAGTTGTAGCAAAGATTTCGCTTTTTCGCATTTTTCATGTCCTTTGTCAGTTTTAGGTTTTTGTTTTTCGTGTTCTTTTTAGCTTTTACTAGAGATTTAAATACAATTCTTTTGCCATATAAAAATGCTTAAAAGCGTCACATTGATGCAAAAAATAATACTTTAAAAAATACACAGAGAGTTGAAAAGGATTCCTCATGCTTTCGATCGATCTTTCCTTCAGTATTTTTTCTGGAGGATTACAAAGAGAGATTTAGTTTTTTTCTGATTTAATTTTAACCAGTTTGCGCAATTGCTTTCCTTTTTTTTTTTGTGGTTTTTAGATTTTTATCATTGTTAATAAGAAAATGAATAAAGTTCTTTAAAAGACTTTGATTTAAAACTTAAAAATAGCAACAAGCGAAATGTACATTACTCTCATTTAAGTATTTCTGTTTCTAAGTTTAATTAGCAGCTTGCATTTTACGCTTACTTAAAGTTAGTTTACGCCTTTGTCGTCGTGTTTTGTTCCTTTCCCCTAATCTCCAAGTACTTTCATATCCATTCGTCTTTCCAAAACTGTCTTTTTTATTTTTTTAAATTTAATGAGCTTGTTTTCTTTCCAATCTGCCTGTCCCATCGATTTGCTAGCGTTCATTCTTCCGGCTCCGCTCTCCCTATTATGTGTTTTCATTTTGTTTTTGTTTGTTTTGTTTATATTCATGGTTTCGTCAAAAAAGTTTCAAAAAAATATATATTCATCATTTCCTTAAATTGGCTTAATTAAAAAATGTTTATTTATTTCTCCCGTTCGCCTCTCGCACTCTGCTCTGCCCGCCCCTAAACAACGACTAAGACGACTAAGTTTGTCTCCTGTTTAAAACACAATTCAATTTAAAAGGGGTTCAATTAATTTAGGAATTCTTTATTGGAAACTATTGGGTGTGGGGTAAGTAAGCTTACTGGTAATTTATATAGCAAATATTATTCTACAAAGAAATCACGTCGAAGGAAACGCAAAAGACAAAACTAAACGAAGGAAAACACACTCAAACCAAAAATATTTGTTTTATTTTTGTTTTTTTTTTAAAGTTTTTATTGAAATTTTTGTTGTTTTTAGTTTTCAATTTTACGCACTAGACATGTTTTTGTTTGCATTTTAAAAATTACTTCAACACTTGCATCAAATTTAATCGATTTGCTCCTCTTGCGAGAGGATTTCAATCAGGGGCGAGAAACCCAAGCAATCTTGAATCTTGATTGGGGTCTCGGCGATTTTAAGACAAATAATAAATTAACTACTTAAAATTAGTTAAAAAACTAAAGTAAAACGCATTAAATTAAAACAAAATACAGACGCAAAACAAACGAGTTCCAAGTTTAGTTTCTTGTCAAAGAAGATTTAAATACACACACAAAAAGTCAGTTTAGCTTTAGATAAGAACACTCCTCGTCGGTTGATTTTATTGTTTACCCTCTCCAACGTCCTTGCTTTTATCCTTTTTTAAAATTAAGCCTAACCTCAAACTGTGCGACGCGGCGTTTTTCAACACTGTCGCTCTAACTACACAAAAACTACAACTTGCTACATGTGTTGCACTCCAACTAACCAACTATTCTTTCTCCTTTCGCTACCAACTAGAAATCATATGTCCTACTCGTCTCCGTATCTCTTGCTACATTTCTTGCCTCGCTCTACGCTACTCGTTTCCGCTTCTGCGTTCTTCTTTGCTTGTCAACACTGTACTTAGATTCTCTAGACTTACGCACTAGGCTTTGATCTTATATACTAAGTTCTTCTCCTGCATCGACTCGATTTCATTCTCGTTCTCTAAAACATAAATTTCTTTTTCACTTTCCTAGGGAGGGGGCGGAAAGACACGCCCCCAGCTCTTCGTTTCTTCCGTCGATATATAAATAACTTAGTTTAATGCTTTCTCAATTTGCTTAAGTTGTGTTTGCTGCTAACAAAGTAAAATCAATGAAAACTACAGAAAGAAAATTGCACTTTGTGTGAGTTTGGGGTAGTGTATGCGTGTGCGTGGGCGTGTTTTGTAGTTGTATCAAGGAAAACAGGATTGAAAATCTTTTAAAAATATTCTCCCAATGACTGGTTTTTGTATTTGTGATTCTTCTTGTATAGGACAACAAATGCAGGCATCTCGTACAATTTTTTTTAAACAATTTCGCTTTTCTTTTTTTCGCTTTTGGAATGTTTTGGCAAAATATATATTTCTCCGATGCCTGCATTAACTTTAAAAGGTGAGTTTAGGTTTGTTTTTTTTTTGTTTTGGGTCTTTTTATCCTGCATTTGTTGTTATTGTTTCAGTTTCAGTTCGTAGTCAGTCTAAAGCAAATAATCGTTATAAGACAAAAAAAAAACATTTGCATTTTGTTGTTGTTTTGGTTTTAGGCTTAGGAAGACTTTTGGCGTTGTGTTTCTTATGTTTTTATATATGTATATATATAATAAATATATATGTAGATAGTTCAGTTAGGCGACTCGACAACTCTAAATTCGAAAATCAAATCGTATCAACACATACATTTAGATATCAAAATCAAATCAAAGACTTTGCTCAGGAATGTTGTTTGTGGTGCGAGGGTGTCCTTGCTCAAAAGGAGATTCTGAATATTTTCTCTCTTCGCCTCACTTTCTTTCACCCACATTGCCCACTTGATGGTTCCCTTGTTTCTTTTATTTTGCTCATCGTGTTTCGTTAATCAATTAACATTCGAAAAAATCACAAATACAATGCTTAGGCTTGATAGGTGTGTCCGTGTTGGTGTTTCCGTTTCCGTTTTTGTGTCAGTGTGTGCGTGTGTGTGTGTGAGTATGTGTTCTGGGAAAATAAATATGCTAGGCTTTGAAAAAGGTTAAATTTCAATTCTATACTCCGTCCTTCTGTTCTTCAACTCTACTTAAGAGACGCTTACAAGACTAAAGAAATCTTCGCTTATTAACTAAGTTCACTAAACGTAGTTCTCTTCTTTCTTCTTTCTTACTTCATACTTCTTCATTTTGTTTTTTGTTTTATTTTTTTTCATTTAACAGTAATTTCTTGGTTTTGTTTTACATTTCTGCTACTGCCTGTGCCAGTTGTTGTTGTTGTTGCTGCTGCTCTTGTTGTTGTTCTTTTCGATCCTTGCTGATCCTTCAAAAAATCGTACTTTCTCCACCGGCCTTCACAAAGCTAAACTACAATTCTACATTTTCAAATTTTATTTTCTTGTCCTGTGTTTTGCTACTTTTGTGTGTTGTCTCGGTTTGTTTCGCTATTCCCTTTTAAAAAGTGTTTGCCTCTTGGTTTCCATGCTAATCAAACTCCATTCTTTTCCTGCCTCACATTCTGCTTTTCAACAACTTGTCATATGCAGAAAAAATATACTATTTCTAGGTTGTTTATGGTTGTTTTTTCTTTCTTCATTAATATGTCTAAAAAACAGTTAACGTAAAAAACTGTAGACAGCTACAAAAAATTCATTCATTAAATCGACTGATGAGCACAAAAAATATGCTAAAAACTAGTACAAGATTTCTCTTCTTCACTCGGTCATCCTAAGCTTTTGCTTATTCTCCCGCATCCTGTTTTCTTAAAGATCTCTAGTACTACTAAATCTGTTTTTGCTTAATGCAATTTTCTTATTTTTGTTTTGCTAAGTCTTAATACTAGGTTTTTGCCCACTTCAAAGGCTTTTTTCTTCTCATTTCTTTTGTTTTCATTTATTTTCTTCCTTTTGACTGCTTGGATAGCACAAAACGAATGTCAAAAAGGGGAATTAGACATTTTTTTTCGCTTTTGTTTTTGCTTTCGGATCTTTGCTTTATACAATTTGCATTTTTTGGTTTAAAAAAACCAAGATAAGGAGAAAACAAACCAAATATCTCCTTTCTTTTTGTGGCTATCTACGCTTTCCTCAGCTTCCGTTTTTTTGTGCTGTTCAACACGATTCAACAAAAATACAAAATAAATATTACAAATTAGACAAACAGAACCAAACAAAGGTAGAGTCTGAGTTTCATCGTAAAAATCTTCTCTAGCAGGCCACAACAAAGAAAACGTTGCCTCTAAGGTAAAAAAGTTTTGCTTTCTTTTTCGCATTCTTGCGCTTTCTTCGCTCTTCAGGGGGTTTCTTTGTTGCCGCTGCAGTTTGACTTAAGAGTTATGCTTTGTTTATATCATCATCGAAATGAGTTTTGTTTCGTTTTTATTTGCTCTGTGTTTCTTTACGGTTCTTTAACATACATTGCACACACATTTAGTTTTGTTTTTGTTTTTGTTTCTGTTTCGGTTTTTCTTCTTTCACTTCACAAATTTCTGTCTGCTTAGGTTTTGCTAGCTCAAAATTAGCAAAATAGTTTCTTTTTATTTTCTCTTCTATTTTTACATCGCTCTTTCTCGGTTTCCCCCCTTGCAATTGTTTTTCCTCTTGCGCTTAACAAAATTAACTTAACTCTAATCTGCGATGGTTTTTCTCGGCAGATTTCCTCAAGTTTTTTCGACTCCCAAGTGAGTTTCCTTTGACTTTGCTTTCTCTTCGCATTCTGCAGTTCTCTTTTTGTAAATATTTTCGACTGCTCTTCTCTCGTTTGCCGCTGTTGTCTGGCAATTGTTGCCGTTCTGCTGTTGCTTCTCTGGTTGTTTATTTAGTGTATAACTATTCTCTATTATTTAAGTTTAGTCTTTGCTTTTCTTCACTTTTTACTTGCGTCTTCTGCGCTTGTCTCTTCGGAGACTGGCTTTCCCTTTCGCATCGCTTACATTGTATTCATGTACCCCCTAAACTTCATCCTCACATCCAACCTCCGTAATTTTATACATTTCTTTCTCTGCCTCAGCTTGCTGCGATCTTCCCTCTTTTTATGGGATGGCTTTTTTCTAGATTTATTTTCGTAAACTGCATGCTGTGTCTCCGATTCTTCTGCCAATGTTGCTGTTTTAGCCGTTTCTTCTAGTTCTTGTTCATGTGGTGGTTGCTGACTCCTTTTTCCGATCCTCTGCTTTTGATGTTACTCCACTCCTCTTGATTTTCCATGGTCCTTGACTTTTCCGCTTCCACCAGGCTTGCTCTCACTCTCGTCCAATTTATATAGTACTCAAATGGGGTACTAATATATTATAGCTAAAAGGAATAAATCTTGAATTAATACAATTGTTTTTCATAATTCGTTTTTATGGAAAATTGGTGGTTTATGAAATCCTTGAGAACAACAAGGAAAGGGGCACAGCCGGGTTACATGCAAGTGTTTATATGAGTGATATGAATGATATTTACCTAGTATGGATTACCAGTGATTAGACTGCTTAGTAACTATACTATATAAGAAATTCAGCCATGTTGTTGTTTCAAAAAGAAGCCGCAGAACATTGGTAAAGAAAATAAACAGAGTACGCTTGTTTAGAATTAACAGAAATTGTAGAAACATATTGGTTGTTAATGAACAGATCTGAAGCAAACAGGCAAGCAACAACAAGCAGAGCACACAAAACACATGAAGCCGATGATTGTCAGTGTATAAGTGTGTTCTTTGTAGGTGCTATTTTGAAAAGTGTGTTTAAGTGTTCTTAAAAACAATGAATCCGTAGGCGTTTAGGTAAAGGGAAAGCTCACAGTGAAGGCAAATTAAAAATGGCAAGTGAAATTATCGTTTTTGGGGTAAGATGGCTTTCAATGGTGGAGGATAACGAGAGCTCTAAAAGCAATGAGCATACATACATGCAAAGAAATATTGGAAAAAATTATGGTTTGGTCCTCCAACCAAAAAAAATTCAAACAAACCGTCTCAATTTGAACTTCTTAACTTGGTCTAAATTTTTGATAAAAATTTTTTATTTATATATATGTTTTATTGATATAAGTCCAATACCTACAACTTTTCACTACATTTTTAACAAATTCATTTTACTTTAAAAAAACTGTAGTCTCTTGTACCCAAAAAAAAAATAATAGAGATTAAATTGAAAGTCAAGCGCAAGCGTCTAAAGTTTTTTTTTATCACTTGTATTCTTTTTATCAGAACATTAGACATGTCTTGGTAGGTATTACGTTATTCAAAGATATGACAGTATTGTTTGTGGTTGAAAAATAAGTTATTTTTTTGGCCTAAAGAATCTAGAAAACGTAAAAAAAAAGTTCAACTTAGAGAAAGTTTGATTGAAGGGTTTTGGGTGAGAGCTTTATGGCCATGACTCGCATGGGCCAAAGATTGGTAAGCATAGAAGTTAATAGATGCGGAGACTGTGAGACTGTGACAGAGACAGAGACAGGAACAGAGAGAGAACAGTGGCTGAGAAGACTTCACTTTCACTCACCTCGCGAAGACCTATTTGGGAGCGGCTTGATGTGGATACTGTGTGTATGCCTCGTCGGGTGATGCAGCTGTGCTAGCCTGTTCGGAATCTGTCATTGGCATTGTTGGTATAATAGTTGGTGGTGGTGCATAATATGGATAAGTTGGACTAATGTACTGTAACGATGGAGAAAAGTTCTATAAAAGAAACCGAAGAAACGAAAAAAATACAAAAATAAATCCAAACAAAAAATCAATCGAAAGCAAGACAAAAATTAATTGGAGTAAAAGAAAGGAATAGAAAGAGTACAAATTATGTATCAACGTTCAATCTTAAACACACACAGCTCACACCCAAAAGATCGCACAAACTAGGATCTTTGAAGTGTATCTTGAACTGAGAACTCTGTTTCTTTCTTTTCAATCCACAAGGATTCAAACAGACGTGCACATCCAATTACAATATGGTCATGTGCATATCTGCATTTAGGCAAGGAAACTCGAAAGAAAGAGTTTCGAGTGTCCAGTTTCTGGAGAATATCACTGGATCGGTGGCTTACAGAGTTGCCAATCTGCAGGGTGGCCAACTGAGGCATCATCGTTCCATATGGCACGCCCGTGTCGCCGCTGACCATCATCGAGATGCCACGTGGCTGCACCTGGTTCACCGCCTCCGGTTTGTACGAGGTCACACCCAGCTGAGGGGCAGCCGCCATTTGCATGTACTGTGGAGAGAAACAAGGCTAATAAGTAATAGTTTAAAGTTCAAATTAACCCCGTACGGCACTGGAATAAATTGAGCACGACAAAAAGCATTATAATAGCAGTAAGGAATATATTTTGTCACGTGTATTTTATAAATAGAAATTTATTCGTTTGGTATAGGTTAGGTTAAATCTTTTGTAACATAATGTTAAATTGAAAAAAAAAAATTCAAATAAAAAAAAAAAAAAAGTTTTTAACTGAAATCTATTGCTAAATATTAAAATGACCGATTTAATTTATTTAAATTGAAACATACATACATATAGTTCACGACAATCATGCTTTTAGTTAATATACTCTTTTAATTTAGTCCAGTGCCACATACCCATAATGGAAGTCACTCCACTACTCACCTGATCATCTACCTGAGTGATCGGCTGGGTCATCATGTAACCGGGTATCCATTGGGAGCCGGCCACTGGATAGCCACCCACCTGGGGGGCGCTGAAGCGGGAGTAGGGCACTCCGATGGGCGTGCCCACGTTGACGCTGACGCCGTTCTGCTGCATAGTGGGGTCGTAGGCCACGGGAATCCCCTCCGCGGAAACGTCGCGCCACGCACGCGCATTCGGATCGGGCGTCTTGAAGAGATTCTTCTTTTTCGGTCCGCCATCGGCGAACTTCACCAGCAGGGGATCTTTGGCACCCGGTATTGTGCTACCATTGAACATCTGAATGATTTGCTCACACTTCTCACGACTCTCCATACGGGCAAAGCCAACGCCTGGGGGAAGATATAAGATATAATAATTATTTTAGATTTTGCAGTCACGGTTGCCACTTGAATAAATTAGAAAAATCGTAAACGAAATAAAAAAAAATTGCTTCTTAAAGATTTTTTTTTAATATTTTAAACATATAACCTTAAACTTTATGTCATGAGGCTTTTTAATAACATTTTGTTCAAAAAAAAAAAACAACTCATGTTTGTTTAATGTTATCTTTCATAATTCGTGCTCCTTAAATGTCATGTTTTCTTATTTTATATCAATGACGGCAACCTTGTTTAAATAACTTTCTACTTACCCTTGGAGTTCATCTGCTGATCACGCAATATTCTGGTCGAAACAACTTGTCCATATTTCGATAGCATTGCCTCCAGATCAGTTTCTTTGAAGTGGGGCGGCAAATTTGCAATATACAAATTTGTGGGATCCTGTTCCTGTTGCTGTGTGGTTGTTGTATGCAATTGGGTCAGATCAGGGTGGTGTGGTGTGGTCGATTGTTGGTTGTTGATTGTTGATTGTGGACGGTTGTTGAAATTGAATCGGTTTAGTTTGATTTGTTGGTTTGGTTTTGGTGGGTTTTGTTGGTTGTTTGTTTCAGTTTCACACAAATTAACGTTACACAAAAGCAGTTGGCGTAAGCATGTGTGTTTAATTGGTGTGCGTATGCGTTTGATGGGTGTGTTGTTGTTGTTGTGTGTGTATGTGAAATTGTTGCGATTGTGTGTGTGTTTTTTTTTTTTATTTTGTTGAGAAAGAGGGGAGTAGAGAAATTAAGAACGTAGAGATTTTGTCATTAGTAAATATTCAAGTTTGCTTGCCAAAAATGTTTCTGTTGTCAACTCTTTTTGGACTGTTTGTCTGTTGTCAGTGTGTTAGTGTGGTGTTAAGTGTGCCTGACTCTTGCGAAAGTGTATGTGTTTGTGTGGATGCTATGTAATGCCTCAGACTTATCGGAGAATACCTTATGAAAAAGATAGCCTATGGAACATTTACCCCCTGAAAATGCAGTGTTAATAGAGTTGGCAAAACATTGAATTTATCATCGATAGTAAACACACTTTTTTTAATTGGAATAGATAACTATGCTTAACATTCACATATATATATTTTTTAAAGTCTGGTGGGAGTTGCTTTATTGCTTTAAAAAACACTGATCATTGTCCGAATAAATTCGATTTTTTAGATATTCAGCATCGACACAGACTTGCCGATCTATAAACTGTATCCTATCGATGGAATCTCAATCAATAATTTGCCATCTCATATGCTTAATTAAGTTAAATACCTGCTCAGTAATTATGTCTTAAGGTTTAATGAGATCTGTTTGATTGTTATACTTAGAGTTTAGATTGTATTTGGTTTTTGGTTTGATTTTTGGCCGGCACAGGTTTGTAGCAATTTGCGTACTCAAACAACAAACTTTTGTAGTAGGTTGATGTAGTAGAGGTTGGTTATATACTTGGCTGGCTATAACTTCAAAATACGAGTATACAGTTTATACAGTTGAATATACAGATTTAATATATTTAAAATATCAGATATGAAGAGAGATATACGCAAGTTGTACTGATTCTATTGTGTGTGAGTATTGTTCTATTCTATGGATTACAATCATTAATGCCTACGCAAATACATGTGGTCTGTGTTTTATTTGTACAGCAAACTTTCCGTTATTTCGTTGGCTATGTTTTTTTAATGAGAATTTAATGCCATCGGATTACAACAGTTGGGAAAAGCTAACGAGAGGGGAAGTGAAAAAAGTTGCTAAGCTCTTCGATTGAAAAACTTTTTGATTTGTGAACAAATTATTAATATGCACGAATGAATGGCCAATAATTGAAATTGATGCTAGGTCCCAGCATCCGTAAGCCGCTGTAAAAGGCTGCTAATTATTGACTAAGATTTACGATTATAATATTGGGATGTTTAAAATATTCTCTTTAAATAAAATCGGGGAAAAGAGATACTATTTGAATTTGGCTCTGTCTACTTAAACCGATTAGTTATTTAACTAAAATCTACTTAAATTTAGTATCTATAACCCAATTTCCCATTTAGGAACTAAGCTACTATACCTCTTAGAAATAAAAACACATGAAGAATGAGTGACAAATTTAAAAAGCGATATATTTCCTTCTAAATCGCAGAACAATTAAAAAAAGTAAATAAAGTAAGCATGTTCAACATTTATTTTGTACAGAATTCTATTATAATGGATTCATTAACAAAAATCTATTAAAATTTAATCTAAATATCCGGGTTGATTGAGAAAGAAAAATTAGTGTTACATTTTTAAAGTTTAGACAAAATCTATGTCTACCTTGATGAATAAGGCCTGAGCTAATAATGATTTTATTGAGGGTTGTATTGGATGTACTGCATTCTTGTAAAGATAAAATACCTTATGGAAAATGTTTTACACTAAACTCTAAATATACCTGTACTGTGTATGCTTAATGCAAATAATTTACCAATCAAAACCGCTAAAAACTTTAATTGTTCTCACTTAATGTCATTATTATGGGGGTTCATTTTTCAACTGCTAAGGAAGATTAAAGAGAAGGATTATTTATTTTATGACTTTCAGCTTCATAAAAATGAACTAATGAATGCCATTAATAAATGAATTTATTCTCAATTAATTAACTAATTATATGTATCACGCTATCAATTTAACTACCTCTATGCAAAGAAATTCAAAACAAGGAAATAAATGTAAAAATATGTTTTTAGGTTTACTAAAAATATGTTTTTGTCTATATAGTCGGCTATAGAAATATTAAGTGTGGTTTTTGGAATACGACAAACGGTAATACAAAGAGAGTCTTTGGAACAACACTACGAACTAGAGATTGGGGTTGGCTTTGGGGTTTTCGGATCGGGGTATCAAGGTGGGAAATTTAATAAATAAAGATAGCAAAAATACAGAAATACACACTCTGCGGTGTGAGAAAGTAAATACTTTTAGCGCCTCGTTTAGTTGTATACTATCTGAGAAAATGGATTCTCAGGAAGTGGGCACACAAATACTTCTTAGACCCACATTCATGCTCATAAAAACAAATATACATCATAAATAAAAGAACACACGAGATTGGCAGAGGTTTTAGTCCTCATGCCTAAAAACGCTTCTTTATATTATTTTTTTTAATTTAGAAAGATATCGATCATGCCACCTTTATAAATCTTTATATCAAAAGATTACAATTATATAGGGGTTATGAGGGTTAAGCTGATGCAAAGCATTGTAACTTAAACGAATCGGTTTATTTCTTTCAACTTTTTTTTTGGAAGCACGAATAGTGGGTCCTAACCAAAAACTAATTTCAGTCTTAATCAAACTCAAATAATAGAAGTTGGAGGCAGCTTAGGGGACAGCACAGTAAACGAAATGCACAAATGACTGGGTAAGGGAGATTTTGGTTCGGATTCAGGATGGAGCTTTCGGGCTATTTTTCTGGGGAGGAGGGTTTGGATGGGACACTTTTGAGGTGTGTGGGGGGTGAGTATTACTTGCATGCAAACAAACGTACAATGGCCGGCCTATGAAGCACCCAGATACCCACTTTGGCCATCTGAGCTTGCACGCCCTTCCCCTGCAATCCTTTTACGGCGCACTCGGCGAAGGCTGGCTGCTCGAAGTCGACGAAGCCGTAACCTGCAAAAAAGCATATTTTGTTTTTGTTTTTCGTTGTTGTTTTTGTTTATTTTTTTTGTTGTTTGTTTTTGTGTGTTGCGGGTGGGGGGAATTTTATTTTTATTTTTTTAATTGCATGTATAAATATATATATAAATATATTTGCAGAGACAGAAGAAGAGAGGAAGAGATGTTTATTTATAGCCCAATATTTGGTTGGCACACAAATCGAAAATTGAAATTGAATTTAATCAAGAACCGAAAAAAATAATGAGATTTTTTGCATTGGGTCACGTGCAACAAAAACAAAAACGAACAAAAACAAAAACAAAATATTCGTTCAACGGGAAAAGAGAAATAGAAGAAAAAACGGGTGAAAATTAAATTAATAATTAATTGGATTCAACTTAAACACTAACAAACAGAATTTCTGAAAAAAAGATCCAAAGGCAAGTAAAAAGAGAAGTACTGAGTAAAAAATATATTTATATCGATACACGCACACACATTGATAGAGAGCAGTCTTTTATAGATACACTATTTTTACAGCTTGTTCAGTTATCGGGGTATTTACATATTATCGTAATCGTTATTATTAGCATTAGTTGAGTGCACCAGTAGCAGTAGATAGTATTTGTAATAGTAGAGTGAGATGCATGAATGACACGATTGCGAAATGATCAGAAATCGAACTAAAAAACTCAAAAACAGTAGAAGAAAACAAAGTAAGAAATTGCAAACATTTATTTTAAAAATGACTAAAACGATATTTTTATATATTTAACCGATATTTAAGGGGAGGGGTAGAGTTTTAAACTTGTTTTTTATTATTTTTTTTTAAGTCATCCGAGTAAAACTGACGAAGTTAGAGCGACCGGCCAATTTTTCGATTTTTCCGAAAACGTATATTTTCTATTTAAGAAAAAAAAAAAGTGCAATTTTTTTTAGCTAAAATAGAAAAACAAAATAAAAACTCTTCGTGATAGCCTCGAAGAATTCATCAGCAATTTCGCCTTTAAAACGCTACCCCTTAAACAAACTACATACAATAACGAACGAGCGGTAAATTGTGATCACTTCAACAAAATAGTTGTATTTAAAGAAAATAAGAAAATATGCTGAGCGTTCTTGGAAATTTTCCAAATAACAAAAAAATTGATTGAGCTAACAAATAAAAAAAATCTTAGAAAAACGAACAGCATTAAGATAAACACAATTAAAACATTTTTCCAATAACACTTAGCATTAATAATATTAAAAAAAAACCAATAAGTAAGAAATTAATGAAATTTCAGTTTTTAGGTTGTTTATATTTTCTTTTCTTGCGTTTCATTTGGATATCTTTTTTTACATAAACACATACTAATAATACTTATACAAAAACACACATAAATAAAATAATGATGAGAATGGTGAAGAAAAAAATACCTTTACATTTGTTTGTTGTTTTATCTAAAATAGCCTTGGTTGATATAATTGTTCCGTATCTGAAAGTTGCAGACAAGAAGAAACACAGGTGGGTTAAATAGGAAATCGTATTAAAAGGACAATGGGATTTCGTAGCATGACAACGACTGCAAAGAATGGATAATGGATAATGGATAATCAGATTATAAACACATTCAGGTCTCTCATCAGGGTGTCTTTGTGTGCGTGTCCGGTGCCACGTGCCATAGTAAATATATATACTATATAGGATGGGGGCTTAAAGTTAAGGGGTTGATCGATGAGACACCTGGCTAGTGCCTCTGATTGGGCCGGGTTTACCTTACTATAAGGCAATTAAAGTGTCATTAAAATGCAATTTTTATGCTCGTGCGCGCCAAAGTAGGCAATGGAAATTTTCACAACCCTTTAGCCATCGTTTTACCATTTCCTAGGGCGTTACATTGCTCATTTATGCCTGGCAATAATTGACTTAGTCCGTGTGTAATGCCCCTTTGGCCGCCGGGTGAAATTAAATCGATATCTTCCTAGTTACACTAGTTTCCCCTACTCTCAACCTTATAAATACTTAGTTATAATAACATTAAGGCACCCTGCAAACCCCCGTTTTGCCCACTAATAAGCCGCTTATTTTGATTGCCTGCAGCAGCAGGAGAAAAGGACGCTGTGCGGCAAAAAAGCAAAATAAATTAACCTTCAATTTAATTACTTGACTTACACAACGAGGGAATGGGATCACTTGGGACGCCGCAAATAAGTTGTTATTATGCATAAAAGAAACGACCAACAGTGCGTATGCGTAATACACACATAATAATAAGTTTACTTTGTTGGTACACCACAAAAATGATTTCCTTTTTGGATACCCAATTTTTTGTTTGTTTGATAAAGCGTACGCACTAATTAGTGGATTTTGTTTAGTTTGCAGAAACTTGGCCTCGTCCATCAAGAAGGTCAGGGGTAGTTGCTTTTTTGGGGGTTACTTTTGGGCCGAAGGATAAAGGAGACGGGGTGGCTTTATGGAAACGCAGCCAAGCGGAATGGACTGAGGCTAAGCCGCTCATTAGCAGCGGGGTTTGTGGGGAGGTGGAGCGCATAGAACGGATGGAAATGGATTTCGGGTTCCGTTCTCCGTTCCGCTCCAAACGCACACACAAAATCACTCTGTGGGAGCAAATCAATAGTTGTCCGGTCACACACATTTCGAATTAGGACCTTTCGTATGCATGGCATTTTGATGTGGCATCAAAGTTACAAGCGTATCTGAGAGATACTGCTGAAAAAAGAAAACGGACGTCGGAATGGAATACAAGCATTCAAGTTGGTTTAATAAATATATTTCCATTGCATTTGTGGTGTAAATTTTAAGATCTTATAAAATATATTCTTGAATTTATTTTGCCTTGACCTATTCGAACTCTCTGGCAATAGAACTTTTTAATAGACTACTCTGTATATAATTTTATTCCATCAATAACTGGCTATTCTCATTCTGTTATTACGTTCAATTAAAATTGATGTAGATGCTTCTTGCTCGAGGGCATAAGCATTTGCTCTGGTTGCTCTAAGGCATCAGCATCTAGCAATTATATATATTTCAGTAGGGTGAAAGCTTGGAGCCGCAAAAACAATTAAAATGAATTTGCATAATGGCCTGCCCAAGGAGATTGTGTTAGATATAATGCAATTTAATGTGACAGGTGGACCGCAGAGACGAGGTACAAGACCGCAGGGCATGCACACGCACAAATCACTGATAGTCTTGATTGTGCCCATATCTGAATCTGATTTGAAATGCATTGAAGTGGTTTTGGCTTTGGCTTTTTTTTTTTTTTTGGTAGCCCAAATCTAGGTCCTGGTACTCACTGTGCACACATATTAACTAGATCCTTGTCGGTTGTGCCCTGCTGCAGTCCGCGAATGTAGAGATTTGTCTTGGACAACTGCTCGCCGCCCTGTTGGTTTTGATTCTGTACCGTGCCGTTGGGACCCATGTTCGTGTTGGTGTTCGTCGTGTTGCTCAGGCTGGTGCTCAGCGTGCCGCTCTGGGAGCCCGTGTTCGAGGAGCTGCTCGAGTTGGTGTTGCTCGGTGAGGCTGCCGTCGGCACTCGCTGACCGTACTGCAAAAAAATTGAGAACAGATGGCTTTAGTACACAGAATAAATACGATTTTTCTATGATCTTACAACAGAAAAAAAATTTGTTTTTAAACTTTTAAACGAAAACAGTGCTCAAATTTTCAAGTAAACATATAACCAATATATTTACTATAAGTTAAGATCGGCGTTAAGAAGTTAAACCCCTTTAAGAGATTAACAAAGATTTTCGGACTTTTTGTTTGGTAATTTCGGTACCCAATTGTTTTTAAAGCAATTTTAAACGAAATCATATCACACTTTTAAAGATGTTCATGTGGTCTAAGTACTTCATACTCTTCTGCATCCCACAGCTGCAGGCAATATTAAAATGTATAGTGCAAAAGTATGTCGATAATATTAAGCGATTTGGCTGGAGAGTGGACTAAAGGAAGAGCGACAACTGGAGGCAGTGCAAGTATTTTTATTGAAATTCCAACAGAAATAGCTGCTATTCGAAGTTATTGAATGCTGCTTGGCTCAGCACACACAATGGATAGGGATGGCGATAGCTATATAGATAGAGACGGAGATGGAGCTAAGGAGGCCATGCAGATAGAGAGAGGTATGAAGGTAGACTCAGGGAAAGAAAGAGAAAGGCACATTGGCATGCTGACGACAGCCCTGACGATGGCGTTTTTCACTTAAAATGCCACACATGTGCCAGAGGGACACGAATAAAGAAGGAGGCGGAGATCGGCTCGAGCTTTGCATATAAGGCTGCAGGATATTTGGCAGCTGCATTCGAAGGCGTTGAAAATCTATAAAATTTGTATGCAACAAACAATGGCCCCACACTCACATAAACACAGTTCCAACAAACTTTGCCATTGATACATTTTTGAAAATTTGCCAAAAACATTATTTTATTCGCACAGCAGCAGCAGCCGCACATCAGCGGGAAATGCTAAAATATGCAACCAACAAAAAGTTGCACTGCAAATTCCCAAAAATTGCAAAGCGAAAATCAAGCAAACATTTTTTGTTAAATTTTTCTTTTGTTTCAGGTTTTGGGGAGGGGATTTGAAAACTTTTCAGCAAGCCGCAAAATCCATTTGCATGAAAGCCACTGAATTGGGGGGGGTTGGGCTATAAAAAAAAAGCTCGCTAATTGAGCCGTGTCATGATTGCCCCCTCGCTTGTGGCTAATACTTCCGTAGGTCACAAATTGATTTAAAAAACGTAAATCTCTGAAAGTGGCAGAAATCAAGTGGGATCTACAAAAAATTTGTGTTTGTTTATAGCATGGTTTGGTTTTTCCCAATGTTGTGGGACTGTTCTTATTTACATTCCGTTCTTTAAAATTGAATGCAATTTGAGAGAAAGTAGTAAGATAAAAATTAATTTTTAAGCGAATACAGACTAAATTTATCAGTTCAAGTAAGTGTATTTTGTTCAACGGTCATTTAAGCTGATTAAGCATGCCAGAACACCACAGAATATCGAAAAACAAAATTTAATGTATTTTAGTAGTATACTTAATTCCCTTAAGGTATTCTGTGTTTGGCTGATAAAATAAATTCAACACAAATTTTTTTTTTATATTTTTTTTGGGGTTTTATAATCAGACGTGAAAGTCACGCTTCTGCAAGCAACCAACACAAATCATAAACTCTTTCGCTATCTCTGGGCTCTGTTCGAATCAACTTTGACTCCCCAAACTCGTTAGTTAGGTTACTCCACAGAACCACTCTAGAAGATATATTTTGTACAGTTTTCCTACGAAATTGCTTCCTTTCTTTTCTCGTATGCAAAATATAATTAAATAATAAATTTAGCCAGCAATTTTTGTAGTCAGCAATTGTTTATCTGTCGCTGTGTGCGCGAATAAGTGTGCGAATATACTTGAGCCAACACTCATACGCCCTGTGTGCCAATGAACTTTTCTCTCTCGGCTTTTTGCCACTTTATCGCTGTATGCTCGCTGCTTCGTCGCTTGTCTGATAATGAAATTATATCGTTCTAATAATTTTATGCGCACAGCAACGACGGACAATCCGCATAAGCTACAAATTATATACTATACATACTATATGGTGATGTATCTGTGTATTCTTATGTGTGTCACGCCAAAATGAGCAACGACAACTTGGCTGCCTTTTTATTTTGTTTAATTTTCTGTTCGTCGGCTTAGCTTTTTATTGTTGTCTTTTTTCTAGTTTTTTTTTTTGGCAACAAAAATTGCGTCATTTGCAAAAAATTTTACGCTGCGAAATCTGCGCGGTTTTTCGCTTTTTAATAAGTTATTTGGTTCTCCGTTTTGCCGGCTCTTTCGTTAGCTATTTTTCTCCATGTTTCTCATGCTTTCCTCTTGATTTTTGTGGCCCACACGTGTCTGAGTCTGAGACTTTGGCCAACTGTGTTTGAGCTAAAGTTTATGCACATTAGCACGATAGTTGGGATATGTTAACCTCTTTGCCGCTCCGCTGTTATTTATGCGCATTTAATTTGTTTACTTATTTATTGCATTTGCTCGAAGCAACAGCGAAACAAACTAAAAATACAATTTGATGGCATAAGCTAGCTAAACTTTTTGATTGCGAACCGGCAGCGATGGGACACAACGAGCAATGATGTCGTCGGCGATTCGATTCGATGACGATGACGATGCCAGAACACGCAATTGTTAATGGCCTGAACTTATGACTGTTCGTTTGTTCTTCCATTTGGGTTTTACTAGATTAGACAATAGTTTCCTGGGGGGCGGAGTTGAAGGGTTCATGGACTTTGAGAAAACGGGCAGTTTTATAAGGAAAGGAAATGGCCCTTATAAATCGATTATGAAGATTGACAGCTGACATTTTTCTTTTAATGCTCTGATAAAATATTGGTTGAGTGCTTTTACTTAAAACTCGGTTTAAGCAAGTTGAAAAAGATATTTAAGTAATACAAATAAAAACTTCAAAGTAAAATATGACATAAAGAAATAATAAATCCAAATACCCAAAAATATGAATTCCCTTTCCAGGAAATCAAGTGAAATCAAGTAATTATAAAACACTAAACTCTTTGCACAAGAGACAGAGTGATTAATGCTTCACCAATTTCAATCACAACATCTCCATGGTAACATCTCCATTAAGAAGTCATCAACAATTATTAGCCGCAAAACCACCAAAATGTATACCGAGAAACTGAATCCAAAAGATCTCCGAGATCCGCTTCAAAAAGTCACGTGCCAGAAAGTGTGAAATACCAAATGGACTTTTTGTTTGATTTATGATGTCGCCACGACATGAGCGCCACACATAAAATATAATTCACTTAAGCTGAGCCGAGTCTTCTGGATTTCTTCGGGGGGTCCCAGAGTCCCCTCCAGCCCCTTCAATCCCCCCCACCATGGATGTCTTGACTAATAAATCAAAATGCAAAGACCAAAGACGCATACGAAATGGAGTGCACTTATTTTCAGTCACTAAATCAGTCACCGCATAAATCCACTCCGTCATGATTAGTGACAGTTATTATTTGTCCAAGTGCTTGACAGCCTGTCAAATTTGGTTAGCATATGTAGGTTGAAATCCAGCCAAAATCTTTCAACTTCGGGTGCCGAAGAGCTCTTAAAATATGTAGAACCCAACTGGCCATTGACCCAATGTGAAATGGGGAATTATGAGGAGTTAAATTAAAGCTGGATGCGTGTCCGCTTACGATTGGAGACGTTTCTATTTCTCGAGCGGATTTCGTTTTGGAAAACCCCTTTGGGAGGGTTGCAAAACTCATCAAATCAGCGAGCCAAATCCAGCTTTTCTTCTGATTGGGGAGGGTTTTTCCTATGGAAAGCAACATAAAAAATGCCTTTCACGTGACTTATATAAATTAAATGCGTTTTGGGTTTCCAATTGGAAGCTGGCATGAAACTGATAGATGAATAGATGAATTCATCTACTGCTGGAACGGAAATGTTAGGCGTCAGATAACAGTCAGCAGAAAACACCCAGAAAGGGGGTGAAAAGAGAATTTTCACTCCCCAATGATGGAGACAAGTCATGACTGGGGTTTAGGGGTTTAAGACAGCGTTTGCCTCTGCAAATGTTTGACATGCCAATGGCAAATCATTTCGAATCATCTGCAGGTGGAATTTTATTCAGAGAACGAGGAAAATATATGACAACCTCCACAACTTCCATCAAAAATAAAAAAAGCAAAGCCCTCCGTCAACTATAATTCCTTCTGTAAAAAAAATGTTCTATTTTCAATTATAGGCAGGACTTTATATCAGTTCAACGACATTTTCATAATTTTTATTATTTATAATTTCATTGTTCTTTTGTTTGGGCGGACCATGAAAAGGTTATTAAACTCGACCTTCAAACCAAAATAAAGTTGTATAATTTATCTCGGCTGAAAAGAGCTGCTCGCAAACTTTTTTAATCATCGTGATAAGATGGTAATTGCTTCGTGGGTGAGTCTAATCAAAGAAAATTTATGAATTTCTTTCAAGAAATTGTATGCCATTTCAAGTGACCCCATAAATTAGTATATACTGCAGTTCATTTATAAATAAACGTTCTTGTGCGCAGAAATTTAAATATTGTTTTGTTATTCATATGTATTTATTTTTGAATTCAATTGTTTGTATATACGGAATTTTAAAATCCCCCAAAAAAATCAAACAATTTTTTCGGCAAAAAAATAAATTCAGTTTTCTTTTTGCTATTGATTATTATTGAACCCTAGTTATTGTCACATTGTTGAGTTTAAATTTGACACTCTATGGACAAGTGACGTTTGCCTTACTGTTTTTCAACGATTTTTTGTTCAGTTCGTTTTGTAAACATTGCGAGTTTATTGGTTGACACAAATTTGTATTGTTTTCACTTTGTTCTATTTTTAATAGGAATTTCGCAATTGGCATTTTATTTGAATAATAAATATAAATAAATTGTCCGTAGCGACAAGGAGAAAATTGTTGACAAATTTTTGATTTCACTGTGCCCTGGGTTAAGCCTTTTTCTATACGAGATGTATATTAAATTTGCATA